AACTTACAGTGCTATAAAAGGACGTATTTTCGATCGTATAGCCTCGCCCACGCTACTAACGCGGTACTTCAACATAATCTGTCGGTACGAGCTCGAACATCCTATTGATCACACATACAAGAACTCGATTTCGGCATGCAAGTCGCCCAATTGATACACGGCGATCCAGGAGCTAACCCAAATGACGCCCAGACTATGCCCCAAACAATAAATCAACCTAAGAAGAAATCGGTGCCGTTGATCCAACAATGTGTGGGATACGAAGGCAAATTCGCCAAAGGTCATACCACGCGGAAAAATGGCGAATGTGCCATCAAGTGTTGCCGCAACGTAAGTAAAAAATCAGCTCAGAATGATGCAATGACTTAATGCTGAACAGCTGATATGATATATATATGATAGTGCTGCGAACAGCTCAAACCGATCGACATACGGTGCTCAAAACACAATGCGATGCCCAAGACCAAACAGCAAAACCGTGTCGGCGGCAACAGCAACGTCTCCCGGAACGCGACCCAAAGGCAGCGTATACAGAGCCCCAGCATCAAAAATGACACCCAAGGTGATGCGGAACCTGTTCTAACGCAGGGACCACCTCAATCCCTTTCAGCAGACGTCTATCAAGCCAGCCATGTGTTCTCTAGCCCACTCAGCGCTGCACAGATCAACAGGTTCCGACAGACGACCTTACAAAAACAAGCGGAAGAGCGTGACGACAAGGATCACGCCTCAGTGGCAAGTAAGACTGCAACTTTTGTCGTATGGGCAGGAATGGATGTAAGTCATTCCCTTGTTTCCGCATACACGACATGTTCCAGCCATCTCATACTTCCTTCTTAGGATAACCCCTTGGGGTGTGAAACCTGGCGTGTATACGCCCCGCGATGGCCCACCTTGAAGCTTAATCAGTCGACTACTCTAATGGAACAAGTTCGACTCAAATTGGGTGACACATGGGAATGGGTGACCTTCAAGGTTTGGGATTCCTGAGGAAAAAACCTGGGTTAAGTCAGAATATGTATGGTTTATAACTTAGGATAATTAGTTATATTCTAAACG